AAAGGTGTTTCCCTCTATATCTCATTTTGCATTTTCAGTTGGAGGGAAACAAACTACTGTATATCCTCGAGTATAAGACTAGTTTTTCAGTCCTTTTTTTAGGCTGAAAAAGTCTCCTCCGGCATACTCGAGTCAATGTAATTTATTATTTTACTTTGTTGTTATTATACTTATTATTACATTTATTAATTTATTATTGTTGTTATTATTACATTTATTATTTTACTCTATTATTGTTATTGTTAAATTTATTACTTTACTGTATTGTTATTATTACATTTGTTATTTTACTCTATTATTACTGTTATTACATTCCATTACTTTACTCTATTTATTACTATTGGAGGACATGTAAGCACATTTACATTGAAGAAGGTTAGAATAATGGTTTAATCAGAATTGGACAGTCTTATCTTGAATTACAGTTTTATGTAAATATTCAAAAACATTTAACCTACTAATGCCTAAATTAATATAATATTATTGGTATCTATTTTTATTTTGAAATTTACCAGTAGCTGCGGCATTTCCCACCCTCGGCTTATATTCGAGTCAATCCATTTTCCCAGTTTTTTGATGTAAAATTAGGTGCCTCGGCTTGTATTCGGGTCGGCTTATACTTGAGTATATACGGGATCTAGTACACAGTGCTCTTCAACTAAAATATCATTAAAATGTCTTCAAAAAACTTTCCCCCTTATCAATGAGTTCGTTTTTTAAATGAAGCCAAAATCAAAAGAATTATTGCTGCCTTTGGAAAGTTTTTCTCCTCCTCATCCTCTTCCTAATCCTAATCTGCTTGGGTTCACTGAAGTATGAAGGTGGGATAAAAATAAAAACAGTAAAATGAATTGACTCCCATGTCTCTTGCTGGCATTGCATGGAATAGCACTGCACGACCTGTGTCACTTCACTGGAACCATGCCACCACTTAAGCCCCTTGCTTGGTGGCATAGAAATAATTGATTATTAAGGATGAAACCACAAAGACTTTGGTGAACCCTTGGTGGCTAAACCAATTAACAATCGCTGCCTGTGTACAGCTCATTTCACCTTTGCATCAGATGAAGGAGTCAGACGTGGCATAAATAAGCTGGAAATTGCCAGTAGGCCTTCCAGCCCGTCCCTTATGGCATTAGGTATGCTTGAGAGTGCACTTGAGGAGGCCGCCAGCTGCATCTGCACCGCGTCTTGTGTGCTTGAATGATGCTCTGCCCAAGTACAACCGTTCCATCTGTACTCCGCGAGACCAGGAACAAAACTTACTTTCACACTCCTCTAAATTCACAGTAGTCCTAACTATTCTTAGGGAGAGGGGAGAGAAGTCTCAGTAGTAGCTTCAGACATGCATCTTTCTCTATATCCCTCTCCTCATCCTCTTACTTTTCTTCCATATAGGCAGCTTCATCCATAGCTACAGAGATCACATGATAAGCTATTTGTGAAAATAAGTTCATCAGGGATACAAAGTGAATTTTAACTGCTTCAGCAAAAGTAAAGGTATGGAAGTAGTTAAAAATATCCTCAGGATTGTGCAAGGCCCAAATGTTTTATGTATTGCGTGTGACTGTTGTTTTATAGTTTTATAATTTTAACAGTTTTAATCTATTGTCATTGTTGTTGTTTCGATATGTGCTGTTTTATACATGTAAGGTATTGAATTTTGCCATTGATTATGTTGGGAACTGCTTTGAGAAAATCTGTATATTATTGCAATCTATATAAATAAAAATGTAATGTTCGTTTGTGGGATTAACAGAACTCAGAAACCGCTGGACGAATTGACACCAAATTTGGACGCAAGACACCTAACAACCCAATGTATGTCCTTCATTCAAAAAAATGATTTTGTCATTTGCCAGTTGTAGCTGCTGGGATTTATAGATCACCAACAATCAAAGAGCATCCTGAACCCCACCAACAATGGAATTGAACCAAACTTGGCACACAGTTCTCCCACGACCAACAGAAAATACTGGAAGTGTTTGGTGGGCAGTGTCCTTTTGTTTTGGAGTCGTAGTTCACCTACATCCAGAGAGCACTGTGGACTCAAACAATGATGGATCTGGACCAAACTCTACATGAATACTCAATATCCCCAAATATGAACAATGGTGGAGTTTGGGGAAAATAGAATCTTGACATTTGGGAGTTGTAGTTGCTGGGATTTGTACTTCACCTACAATCACAGAGCATTCTGAACCCCACCAACGATAGAATTGGGCCAAACCTCCCACACAGAACCCCCATGACCACTAGAGTGGGCCACAGCAACGCGTGGCAGGGGACGGCTAGCAAATAAATAAATAAATAAAGGTTTCCCCTTGACACTAAGTTTAGTCGAGTCCGACTCTGGGGGTTGGTACCCATTTCCATTTCTAAGCCAAAGAACTGGTGTTGTCTGTAGACACCTCCTAGCTCATGAGGACAGCATGACTGCATGGAGCACCGTTACCTTCCCGCCAGAGCAGTACCTATTGATCTACTCACATTTGCATGTTTTCGAAGTGCTAGGTTGGCAGAAGCTGGGGCTAACAACAGGAGTTCACCCCGCCCCCCATATTCGAACCACCAACCTTTCGTTCAGCAGTTTAACCCGCTGCACCACTGGGGGCTTCAGCAAAACCCCTACTGAAAACAAGGGGTAACAGTGCCGTTTAACAGCCACTTGAATCCCACACAGTAGTACCTACACATTCATGCATGTGGAAGAATGCATGAAGTGAGTTTCAATGTACAAAAAAGCAACATCTGCAGTTAACCCACTTCACTGCACTGAGGAGTAAAGTATCATTTAGCAATAAGTCTTCTGCTTCTGCTTTCCTTGACCAGCCCTTCCTCAATTCGTGGCCCAAAGTCAATTCTTTTTCCCTACATGAGATGAGGATGAAAACTCGTTTACTTAGCACATCTGTCTTTGCTTTGTCTTGTTGATATTGGGGAAAGGGCCTCAGTAACATTCCATCTGATGTCAGGCTGATAAGACAGACAGAACTGTTCCCTTTCCCAAAATGGCTAGTTGATGGGGAAAAACCGAAGGATAACGTCTTGTTTTACAAAATAATTGCACACACACATCCATCTTAATCACCATGAATGCTACAGGGCCCGACCATAACAAACAGAATGCTTTCAAGGACACCAAGAAACTTAACAACATACAATTCCCACTCTGTCCTATATCACCTACTATTAGCAAACTCACTCTCCGAATGCCTTTAGGTAAGCACATTCACGAACAACACACACAGGATTGGTATCATTTAATATGGGAACATATCAGTGTTTTCAAATGTAGCAGAATATCTGGGGGGGGGATTAAAATCCCCCCTCCAAATATCAGAGCCCAATGAGGATTGACCATGTGGCCAAAAACATGGAGTATCTGTGGTAAGGGAAGGGGCCACAGGGGAAGGAGGAAAAGAATAAAGCTACAGAGACTGGAATAGAGTATGTGGGAAAGTGCTACAGCTGAGACCTTGAGCACAGCAATATCTTGTGATTCACCATTTAAGCCACTTGTATGGTTCTCAAGATGGCTCATAAGAAGTGACACTGAAGAACAGAACTACTACCGCCATGGCAAAAGAATGTTTGTCCACATCCATCAAACATTTATTTTCTTTGGGATGGTAGCTGTCCATTTCTAAGCCCAATAGCCGGCGTTGTCCATAGACGCCTCCGAGGTCATGTGGTCAGAATGACTGCATGGAGCACTGTTACCTTCCCGCCAGAGTAGTACCTATTGAGCTACTCACATTTGCATGTTGTCGAACTGCTAGGTTGGCAGAAGCTGGGGCTAACAGCAGAAGCTCACCCCGCTCCCCGAATTTGAACCACTGACCTTTTGGTGAGCAAGTTCTGCAGTTTAACCCGCTGCACCATCGGGGGCCCATTAAGTTAATCCCTAACTAAATTTAAATCAGGGGTGGACACTGGCCCCATCTACACGGCTATATAATGGAGTTTCATAATGCAGCTTAGCTGCCTAGAACTACATTATGAGTCTATACTGCCATAGAATGCAGCTCAATGCAGTATGACAGGGTCACTATCTTGCTGCAGCTCCCAGCATTTCTTCCCATACAGTTGGATGGGAGATTCAGTTCAACAAAAGCTGGAGATCCACTCAGTGTTTCTCAACCTTCCTAATACCGCAACCCCTTAATACAGTTCCTCATGTTGTGGTGCCCCCCAACCATAATATTATTTTTGTTGCTACTTTATAACTATAATTTTACTACTGTGATGAATCGTAATGTAAGTATTTTATATCTATTTTCATTCACTGGATCAAATTTGGCACAAATACCCAAAACACCCAAATTTGAATACTGGTGGGGTAGGGATGGGGGGTTGATTTTGTCATTTGGGAGTTGTAGTTGCTGGGGTTTATAGTTCACCTACAATCAAAGAGCATTCTGAACCCTAAAAATGACAGAATTGAGCCAAACTTCCCACACAGAACCTTTTGACCAATAGAAAATACTGTGTTTTCTGGTGGTCTTTGGCGACCCCTCTGACCCTCAGGTTGAGAAACGCTGCTATAAAGCCAGTGCTGACAGCCCTTATCCTTTATGAAAGAAAGAGCTGCTTGCCACACATTATTGTACTTCATGCTAGAGATCGCTAAAATACAGAGACTTTCTGCAAAAAACAAAATCAACAATCTTAACAGTCACACACATCAAAGAATTAAGTGGAATAATTTACGTCTGTATTAGGCAATTCAATCATCCATCACCTGTCTTAATTTTTGCCTGTCTATGACAATACTCTGTAATTTTCTCAGGGACAACACACCAAGGGCACACACAACTTTTGGCTGCAAACAACAATGAGCTACAGATAGCAAACAACATTACCATTTTTTTTTTGCCTACTGACAAGGAAAAAAAGCTTTATATGCTTTAAAGATTTGTTGTGGCACTGCCATGCTTTGCTCCAAACCGATGGAGGAGGCATGCAACACTTCAAAATGCATTTTAAAAATGGCTTACATCTGTCATTGTCATTTTGCCCAGCCATGGCATCTTCCAAAGTGACAGACTTGGGTTTCTTTTCATTGTTTCCTTTGAAGTTTTCCCAGTCTGCTTGGCTGAATCGGCAGACCTCCGGGTCTTTGGTCGCTCCGTGGCCTTCTCTCTCTTTCATCTCCAACTCTGAGAAGCGCATCATGGCCCGCTAGAAAGAAAATTGATATGAACAAACAAGATCTCACAGGAAGGCCTACTTCATTTTACCTTACCTTCTATGAAAGTAATTCCAAAAGGGAAAAGGTTCTGTTCAAAACCAAGGACCCAAATCCAATTACTAGCCCCAACTAGAGCAAATTCACTGAAGCAATGGGATTTAAATTGAGGGTCGGCTTCTCATCAACTAAGGGGTCAACTCTAGTTGGACTAACAATTGGACTTAAGCGACAATTGGATATCTATAAAATCATACAAAATATTTTAAAATCTCAGTGTCGAACATACAAGGGTACACTGTATACACAAATGTACATACACATATATATACATATATACACACACACAGTTCTTCCATATATAAATGTAAATGGCACATTATATATTTAAAATTGTTGTATTTGGGGGGGGGGGGGTAAAACAAACAAAACAAAAACAAAAAAATACCACACAATGAATAAAGACAACCATGGCCCACAACTTCCCTCTGTGTAATTTGAAATGAAATTTTTAACTCAAAGGTTTATGCAAGATTCTAGTAATAAAAATTTGAAGAACTGACCTCACAGTAAGCAGCAGGTAGACATAAAATACTGTCCTCTTGTAATCCTTCCATCTATGTAATTAAAATGGGCACTCAATGGATCATTTAGATAATTTCATCCATTTTTATAAGCATCAACTAAGTCTTTTCTTAACAATGCAAAACAATTTGGTTTAACTCGCCTTCCCACAAAATGCTAAAATAGCCTACAATACTTGCCATCATTCAACATCTAATTCACTTTAACTTCCTATCCTCTATGCTATCTTTTCTTTTCGGTTTGCTGCAAAAGTTGCACTAAAATAGCTTGCTAAAATTATCCTCTTTTATCAAATGCCACATATGATAGATTACTTGTTATCATTTTGGCCAAATGCAGGTAAACGACTGCAAACTATCTTTCCCTCTTGTAAATAAACAGGTCATGCATTCTTCATCTCCCCCTTAATTATTACATATTATGCTTAGGAAATTAAGGCATTTAAATACTAGTTAACTACATATAATTAATCGATCAATGTTCAACTATCTCTGACTTCATAATACAACCAAAATATTTTTAAGTATTATAGCTAGTTGTGTCAAAGTAGTCTGACACTTCTACAGGTTGAGTATCCCTTATCCAGAAATTTGAAATAATCCGAAATCCAAAACGGCCCACATCAGTATCTGAGATAATGACATCTTTGGATTCTGATGGTTCAATATAAAAAAAAGTTTGTTTTATGTACAAAATTACTGAAAACATTGTGCATAAAACTACATTGGGCTATGTGTATAAGGTACCGCATATACTCAAGTATAAGCTAAGTTTTTCGGCCCTTTTTTAGGCTGAAAAAGCCCCCCTTGGCTTATACTCGAGTCAAGGTTATTTCTTATTTTACTCTAGTTATTATTTATTTATTTATTTATTTATTTGGGGTTCTTTTACCCCGCCCTTCTCACCCCAAAGGGGTGAGAAGTAATAATGTACATTATTTTACTCTATTATAAAATGTAAAGAGTAAAATAATGTACATTATTTTACTCTATTATTACTGTTATCATTACATTTTCATTATTTTACTCTACTATTATTTTTTACATTTATTATTTTACTCTATTTCTTATTATTACATTTATTTTACTTTAGTATTATTACATTTATTACTTTACTCTATTTCTTATTATATTTATTTTACTTTAGTATTGTTATTACATTCATTATTTTACTTTAGTATTGTTATTACATTTATTATTTTACTCTATTATTACTGTTATTATTACATTTCCATTATTTTACTCTATTATTATAATTACATTTATTATTTTATTCTCTTTATTATGATTGGAAGGATATGTAAGCACATTTATATTGAAGAAATTTAGAATAATCAGAGTTGGACAGTTTTATCTTAAATTGCAGTTTTATTTAAATTTTCAAAAACATTTCACCTACTGATGCCTCAATTAATGTAATTTTATTGGTATCTATTTTTATTTTGAAATTTATAAGTAGCTGCTGCATTTCCCACCCTCGACTTATACTCGAGTCAATACGGTTTCCCATTTTTTTGTGGTCAAATTAGGTGCATTGGCTTATACTGGAGTAAATACGGTATATATGAAACAGAAATGAATGTCATATTTCGACTTGGGTCCCATTTGCAAGATATCTCATTAAGTATATTCAAGTATTACAACATTAAAAAGTGAAAAACAGAAGACTTCTAGTCCCAAGCATTTTGGATAAGGGAAACTCAACCTGCACATACATTCCCAAACCTGCCAAATATAATTCTCAACTGCAACCTTATCATACAAGAACGCTTCAGTAGTTAACTCTCAGTGACTCACCTGCAGGGCCCGCTGTTCTCGACTCAGCTGGGTAGAATCTGCATACAGTTCAGTTGTAACGCACTTGAATCGGTCACCTACGTAACCGGCAGAGTTTGCAATTCTCTTTGCCACTTTGGATGGCTTAGGCTTCACAAGTTTGCCATCGTTAGATTCTGTGCCCTCGGTCCCCTCTTTGGCATACGTCTGGTTGACTTCAATGCTCGGCTGTGCATTTCCAATGCAAAGTGGTTTATTGTCATCGGGCATTTTGCAAAAAGACATCGCCAGGCCATCAGTCCCATGCACAGGCTCCAAGAAGACAGAGGAAGGGGGCACCGGCACTCTCTCTCTGTTTTGGCTAATTGACATGTCCTCTTTTCTTAAGTTGAACATTGCTGTGTGTGAGCTCTGGGCTTGCTTAAAGTTGTAGACTTCGTGGAAATTATTTCTCCCACATTCTTCTCTGGTCACAATAAAATCTCTGGGCTGAAAGGCCTGCTCTACCTTGTGCTTTATGGGCTCGCTTGCTTGAGTGCCGCTTTCAGCGGGAAAACTGGGTTTTATTATCATGTTTGTTTCACCTTTCACGTCCTGCTCTTCTCTCAGCTCTGCAAACGTGTGCTTGTCACTTTTGGCAGGATTCTTACTATGACCTGAAATCTGTTGTGGTTTTGCATTTCTGTCTGTAGCTGGTACCTCAAATTGTAGCTTAGTGCTGGTTTCCAGCACCTCCGGCAATCTGCTTCTTAAAATAGGATCCTCATAACGGAGCCTTTCATGTGATCGAGATCTCCTTTCCGATTTGTCATCTTTCAGCTCCAAAGCTGTTGTGTGTGGCAACAGCATTGGGTGCACCATCCCTATGCCTAATGTATCCTGATAGGTCACAAACTCACCTCTGCTCGTCGGCAGGCTGTATGGGATTGTAGGTTTGGGGGCCAGATGACCAGGGAAAAGGCTGCCGTTTGGTAAGAGAATGGGGTGAGGATATACGGGTGCTTTTCCGTGCAGAGACAAAGGGCCTATAGCTAAGCCTTCAGGAACAGGATATGGGAGATAGCTCCTCTGGTAGGGCAACGGTGGAGACCGGAATGCATCGTTAGGAGGAAAAAAGATGGACGTTGGTGTTGGTGTGAGTGTGCTCTCGCTTGCTTTGAAGACAGGTTCTTGATTGTTGCATTTAGCTGCCTTACTACTGTGCTTGGAAGATGGCGTCGCTAGAGGCTGCCCAACATGTTGGATGACAGACGCAGCAGTGGTCTCGACGGAGCTGCTCGTTTTAGGGCAATCCACATTGGCATTCGGGGCCGGAGAAGCGGATGCTGGCCGACCCCCGGTTGATACAGACCCTGAAACGTTACTGACAACTGCTTCTGTCCCTCCCATCCTGGGACACGAAGAGCTTCGCTGTTGTGGCGTCCCCCAGTCCAATGCTTTGTTTTTCAATGGCATGTTTTTTGCACTGCTATTGTCTTCACTCGGAGCTGGGCCGGGAACCACCCAGGAGGAAGGTGCGGTGCTAATTATTTCAGGTCTATAGACAGGACAGCAGTTTCCAGGAGAAATGGTTTCTTTGGGAAGATCACTTCCAGGTAAAACCAGTCCGCTTCCAGCCCTGCTATGAACTAACACAGTCGGTGTCATTTTCTTAATGTGATCCAGTTTGGCTGTCTCTGCATCCACAACCTTAGATGACAAATCCAGTGGTTTGTCTATAACATCTTTGGTAACAGTTTGTTGTTTCTCTAACAATGGAGGGGATCTGCTCTCCTTCCTATCGTGACTGGTTTTCCTTGCATGCACGGTGGGTTGCTGCGAAATGTCAGCCGTCTCGTGTGTTTTGGGGGCCTTCCCAGTAGAGACCCTGGGAGGAAAGTCACTGCTTACATTCATGTATGGCTTTGGGAGCACAACTGAAGAAGGAGACGTCGAAATCCTAGAGAGGTGCTTATGGAACTCTGAGTAAGCATCTCCAGGCTGCGGCTGCAAATGAACTCTCGGCGAGGGTCGTGGCGAATGGGACAGGAGACCCGCAGGCTCTGTGGGCATGCTGCTAGCGGCCGGCTTGGCAGATGGAAGCCGAGGCGGCTTGCTGTTCTGGATATGTGGGTAGGCGTGAGAGTCCACAGGATTCCCAGGACTGACTCCCATCTTCCAAGACAAGCTTTTCTCTGGACAGTGTCCCAAAGGAGGAAGTACGGGGGCTGCTGCTGCGGCGGAGAGCCTCAAAGGTGAAGCCAAGGAAGATGGAATGTGAGGAGTGACGTAATGAGAAGGTGGCAGGTACAAAAAACGCTCGCCATTGGTACAGACAGGGGAGTACGCCAGGTGCTGCGGCAAGCTGTAGCTGGATTGCTGAGGTAGCAAGGTCTTATACATGTTCAGCGAATACTTATTTGGTGATTCAAGAAAAGGATAAATAGCACCCTCCATGTAAGGACTTACCCAGGGTAACCTTAGGTAACTAGCACCATTGACATTGAGAGGACTTGGTTTGTCGCTAGAGGTTCTGTCCAAGCCCAAGGTTTCCCCGGCAGGCGGAACAGAACTCTTTTGTATTCCAGGTGGTGTTTTGTATATAGCGCTGAAGCCATTTGGGGGCTTTCCAGCCACATTTTCAATTGTTTCAGTAGGATTCGTCTTGAACTGTAACTCTGGATTTCTTTCAGGAGCAAATCCAAGGCCAGCAATTGCACTTGCAGCATCTCGAGGCTTGTCTGAGCCAAGTCCACATAAGCTGGGAAAGACAATACTACCAGGGACTCTGAGTCCTTCCCGCATAAGTCCAGTCCGGTCCATGCTCAGAGCAGCAAGACTGTCAATGCGATGCACGCCTGTTGCATCCACCTCGGTAGAAGAAGAAAGATGTTACTTTGGCATCTAGTCCAAGTACAACTCTATACATTTTGAAATGACTAGAAACAACAAAAAGTGAACACATTTTTTCATTATTAGCAAGAGGTGTGGGGTGATTAAACAGATGCACGCAAAGGAGTACAGGAAATCAAACATTTAAAAGTATAGGCTGCTTTATGCTTGGGTGTAAAGGGTCTGTCAGCTGCCAAATTAGATTTTTCAGGAGCCCTCGGTAGGGCAATGGGTTAACCCTCTGTGTTGGCTGAACCACTGACCGAAAGGTCGATGGTTCAAATCCAGAGATCAGGGTGAGCTCTCATATGTCAGCTCCAACTTCCCATGCGGAGACATGAAAGAAGCCTCCCATAGGGTGGTAAAACAACCGGGCGTCCCTTGGGTCAATTCGCTCACACCAGAAGCAACTTGCAGTTTTTCAAATTGCTCCTGAAAAAAAATTAGATTTTTTAAAAAAACTAACATTATTAATTTGATTCGCATCTAGAATCTTCTATATCAAGAAAAATATTTACATTGGTTTTCTCTTTAAAGGCTCTTAGCCTTTGGTCTTCCAGATGCTTTGGACTTCAGCTCCCAGAATTCCTGACTATTGCCCAAAAATTCTGGTTGGGACGTATGAGAATTAAATATTTAGAAGATCAATACCAATTTAAACAGTGGTTTCTTAATAATACAGACCCACTCTCCATGTCTACGGATTCAACCACCGTAATTAGAAAACATGGGTTCTTTTTTTTTTATTTCCCAAAAGCATATCCTGATTTTGCCATATAATATAAGGAGCACCATTTTATTACACTATTGTCTCTACTGGAATTGGGGCATCCATGGATTTTGGTATGCATAGGGTCACTGTAACCAAACCACAGTAGATGCCAAAGGCCCACAAGGCAACACACACTCCCATTAAAATAAATAGACTTCAACAATTATATCCTTTTCTACTGCAATTCTTTTATGGTTATGTTCCCAGCAGAAATCTCAGGTGCACACTTGTATATGCCACATACCCATATTTCAAAAATATTGTAAATCAGAGATAATGCCCCTATTACTTCTATTCCACAGCTAATTAGTAATATTTAGACCACAATTCTATGCACATTTCCCTCGTCATAAGTTCCACTGAACTCAGTAGGGCATTTGTCTAGATACGTGTATATAGATTTGCACAATTAGTAACTCCAAAGGCCATCTTCTCCACAGAGGGCCTCAATTACTGCTTTCCCCATATGTAAACAGAATTGTTTAGAGGACAAAAAAGATCACGCCTGTAATAGCACTACTCCTTTGGTCTCTTATGTACTTAATATGTTGCCTTCTGACTAAAATGAGATAAAGTAAACTACTCACTCCAGGAAAAATGCATATGACAGAACAAGGGTGGGCAACTGCACGCAGGGGGGCAATTTTCACCCACGTCCGTCCCCAAACAAGTTACATAAACTAAAATGTTTCTTACCACGCTATGGTTCAGGTGATTTTCCTCTCTTAATTCCAGCCTGTTTTTTGAAGCGTCTCCATCATTAACTGGGATTTTCCTATTTTTTAAAAGAAAGACACACAAAAAAGTAAAGACATAAACACTTCCCTGCAAAGTTTTGACTGAACTGTTTTATTAGTACAGCCTAGCTGATAAAGGTGATGGCTCAAATCCAGTTGGTGTCAGAGACACGTAAGTTTTCTTACTCATGGTTGTACTTTTTAGGTTGCTGCACAATTGATGTATTTATTTATTTATTTATTTATTTGATTCATTTGTAGACCGCCGCTCTCAGCCCTAGAGCGACTCGCGGCGGTGCACAGCATATAAAAACAGTTTACAAAAGTACAGCAAAAATCAACATAACAAATTACACACTAATCTAATCCAGAATTACACTAACTAATCCGCATCGTCACAATATAGAATCGTAGCCAATCTCATAGTCCATGTCCGTTCCAATTGTCATTACCAGCTCATTACCAGCTAATGTAGCACTCAATTAAATGCCTTCTCAAAGAGCCAGGTCTTTAGGCTCTTACGGAAGGCCATAAGGGAAGGCGCCTGTCTGATGTCAACAGGGAGGGTGTTCCACAGCCGGGGGGCCACCACCGAGAAGGCCCTCTCTCTCGTCCCCGCCAGACGTGCCTGTGAGGCAGGTGGGATCGAGAGAAGGGCCTCCCCAGACGATCTCAAGGCCCTCGTGGGCTCATAGGCCGAGATGCGGTCCGAAAGGTATTTTGGGCCGGAACCGTTTAGGGCTTTGTAGGATAACACCAGCACCTTGAATTGGGCCCGGTAGCAAATCGGCAGCCAGTGGAGCTGGGCCAACAAGGGCGTTGTATGCTCCCTGCGTCCCGCTCCCGTTAGTAACATGGCTGCCGCGCGCTGGACTAGCTGAAGCTTCCGGGCCGTCTTCAAGGGCAGCCCCACGTAGAGAGCGTTGCAGTAGTCAAGGCGGGATGTGACCAGAGCGTGTACCACCGTGGCCAAGTCAGACTTCCCAAGATACGGGCGCAGCTGGCGCACGAGCCTAAGCTGTGCAAATGCTCCCCTGGTCCCCCCTGAAACCTGGGGATCCAGGCTCAAAGATGAATCCAGGGTCACACCCAAGCTGCGAACCTGCGCCTTCAAGGGGAGTGCGACCCCGTCCAGCACAGGCTGTAACCCTATACCCTGTTTGGCCTTGCGACTGACCAGGAGTACCTCTGTCTTGTCTGGATTTAATTTCAGTTTGTTCGCCCTCATCCAGACAGTTACAGCGGCCAGGCACCGGTTCAGGACCTCGACAGCCTCCTTAGTAGCAGGTGGAAAGGAGTGACAGAGTTGGACATCATCTGCGTACAGATGACACCGCACCCCGAAACTCCGGATGATCTCACCCAGCGGCTTCATGTAGATATTAAACAGCATGGGGGACAGTATAGAACCCTGTGGAACCCCACAGGTCAAAGTCTGTGGTGTTGAACAGGAGTCCCCCAATAACACCTTCTGGGTACGACCCTCCAGAAATGACTGGAGCCACTGCAGAGCAGTGCCCCCAAGCCCCATTCCCTGCAAGGCGCCCAGAAGGATACCGTGGTCGACGGTATCGAAGGCCGCTGAGAGGTCCAGGAGCACCAACAGGGACACACTCCCCCTGTCTAGCTCCCGGCGCAGATCATCCACTAAGGCGACCAAGACCGTCTCAGTACCATGTCCCGGTCTGAAACCAGACTGTGCCGGATCCAGAATATCCGTGTCTCTCAAGAATGCCTGGAGTTGTGAGGCCACCACGCTTTCCATGACTTTGCCCAAAAAGGGGAGATTGGAAACAGGCCGAAAGTTGTCAAATTTAGTGGGGTCCAATGATGGTTTCTTCAACAGCGGTTTTATAATTGCTTGTTTTAAGCACGCTGGAATCTTGCCTTCCCGAAGGGAGGCATTAACCACCACCGTTACCCACTCAGCCAATCCCCCTCTGGCCTCCTTCAGAAGCCAGGATGGGCAGGGGTCTAGGATGGACGTGGTGGACCTCATTCCTCCAAGTATCTTGTCCACATCCTCGGGCTTCACAAACTGAAAAGAATCCATCAAAATAGGACAAGCAGGTGCTCTTGTTACATCCTCAGAGACTGCATTTAACATGGTGTCCAGCTCAGAACGGATCAAAGCGACTTTGTCTGCGAAGAACCGAGCAAATGCTTCACAGCGCGTGACCGAATTGTCAGGGCTCCCGCCTGAGGTGGCGGGAGTTAAAAGACCTCTGACAATCCGAAACAACTCCGCTGGACGGTTTTTTGCAGACGCAATAGTGGCCGCAAAGAACGTTTTCTTTGCGGCCTTTATTGCCGCGGCATATGCCCTTAAAAAGGACACAAACCATGCTCGATTTCCATGTCGAAGCCTTTCATGGCTGAAATCACTGGGTTGCTATGAGTTTTCCGGGCTGTATGGCCGTGTTCTAGAAGTATTCTTTCCTGACGTTTCACCCATATATATGCCAAGCATCCTCACAACTTCAGAGGATGCTTGTAATAGATGTGGGTGAAACGTCAGGAGAGACTGCTTCTGAACATGGCCATACAGCCTGGAAAACTCACAACAAACCACAGTTTATATACTTTGTATGGGAGTCCAAAGGACTTGCACCATATGGATGCCTGTCACAGATACAGGTGAAATGTCAGGAGAGACTGCTTCTCGAACATGGCCATACAGCCGGGAAAACTCACAACAAACCACCTTTTATATACTTTGTATGGGAGTCCAAAGGACTTACGCCATATGGATGCCTGCCAGAGATACAGGCGAAATGTCAGGAGAAAATGCTTCTGGAACATAGTCATACAGCTGGGAAAACTCACAACAAACCACAGTTTATATACTTTGTATGGGAGTCCAAAGGCCTTATGCCATATGAATGCCTGCCATAGATACAGGCGAAATGTCAGGAGAGAATGCTTCTGGAACATGGCCATACAGCCCGGAAAACTCACAACAAACCACTGCATATGCAACCCAGTGATGTATTCATGGTTGCATATGAAGAGGTTTGAAAGTGCAACCATTTCACACATATTTGCACATTCTTGGATGGATCCCACATATTTATTGTGGTCATCAATGCACCACTGCATTCACTAAGATTGCAGAAGTGATCTTTGTGAGATTCGACAATAAAGCAAATGCAGTGATAGATGTAATGTCAATTGTACAATATCAGAGATACAAAGCAGTATGTAAATCACGGCCTTATAGCCCCTTACTTATAGCTAGCAAAAAAAAGTGTGTGGTGCCTTTAAATCTCTCCACGACATACATATATATAGCGTCCCTACTTCGTGGATTTTCACTTTTTGCGGGTGGTCCTGGAACATAACACCCACAATAAGTGAGGGAACACTGTACAGGAAAACAACGTTATGTCGTATTTCACATTCATGTATTCTTAAGACACTCCAAAAATGTAGGAAGAGGATTAACACATACTTCTAATATCATACACATGTCAACTGTTCAGTGCTGAAGAGGGAGCCACACATCTGTGACTTGGTTGCGTTGCAGCTCTGGGACTTGTTATCACAGAAAACACCGATAAAGAATGCACCTTAGTGCCAAGCTTGCAAATCCCAGGGACACAATTGCTGACATGCAGCAGAAAGGAAGTTTCATCATTCCCCAGAAGGGCAAGCTCCACTCCTATTATATTTAAAGTGGCACTATCAACTTTCAAGATGAAAGCATCTCCCACGCTTTGGTCCAGCTCTCACATTTTATTGTTCCAACTACCTGCAAAATGCAGCTGAAGGAAACAGAAAAATAGCATCCTGCTCACATGCATGCCCTTTCTTCCCTTTTTTCTCCGTTTTGCTTGTCAGGCATGTTCAGTACGGGATTCGAGAGGTAGATAGTTGCTGCTTATCCTGACTCTTCTAGGCAGGAACTTGCAGCTATGGGAGGAAGAACTAAAGCTTGCTCACTTTGTTTATTCCAGATACACTACTACAAATTAACAGTGAAGGTCTGTGTTTCTCCAGCCTTCTGTCACCATCCTCCCATTGCAGATGCTGCTAAAAACTTCTAGCTGGACAGAGAACAAGGATAAAAAGTGGAGCTAGGGACACATAAAAAAGGCTTTGTAAAAAAGAAGGCTTTATTAACAGAGGTATGCCTCTATGTCAGTGGTTCTCAACCTGCGGATCCCCAGGTGTTGTGGCCTACAACTCCCAGAAATCCCAGCCAGTTTACCAGCTCTTAGGATTTCTAGGAGTTGAAGGCCAAAACATCTGGGGACCCACAGGTTGAGAACCACTGCTCTATGTAATTGTAACCATGGTCTCGCTAAATTGAATAGGGCTTAAACAAACAACTAACTTGATCTGTTGATTTCAATGGAACCTAATCATGGTAACGGTAAAGGTTTCCTCTTGACATTAAGTCTAGTTGTGCCTGACTCAGGGGAGTGGCGCTCATCACCATTTCTAAGCCCATGAGTTGGCATTGTCCATAGACATCTCCAAGGTCATGTGGCCGGCATGCCGTTACCTTCCTGCCAAGGCAGTACCTATTGATCTACTCACATTTGCATGTTTTCGAAGTGCTAGGTTGGCAGAAGCTAGGGCTAACAGTGGGATCTTACCCCGCTCCCCGGATTCGAACAACCAACCCATCGGCAAGTTCAGCGGTTTAACCCGCTGTGCCACTGGGGGCTCTCCATGGCTAAGGCCAAATTGTCACATCTATCATACTATAACAAATAGTATTACAAATTTTAACTGCTGGGCAAATTATTTCTCTCACTTTGCAGATCATACCACGCGCAAACTCACACTAATTCAAAAGGAACACAATGCCAGGTTTTAGTACCCTATTTCTCACAAATATAATGAACTCCAGTAGCAATGTAAAGGCATATGCTTGGTAATATCAGAGAGACATACATTTAGATCAGAGAGACTTGCACACATACGTTTGTGTGCATACACAAAACAGAGAAACAAGTGACTCTGGGAAGTAAATTTTTGAAATAGTAGGTCCCCATGCAAAAAGGCGAGAAGAGGGCAAAAGGAAAGCAATTTCACTCTCCAGAAACAGACCTTTCCGTTTAACTTAAAGCTTAAATATTTACCTGTCTTCATTAATGCCACACATGCGGACCCTCTCATTGCTCATCCAACTATGAACGTTGCTATACAGGGGGGTTGCAGAAAGCATGACGTCACCTTAAAACAGCAGCCTTCCTTCACAAGTATTTAAAATCTGTTTGAAAACAAGAAAAAAAGGGAATTGAGAAGACTAGTTTAGGAGGAAGCAGGAAGATCACAAGGAGAATCATGAGCCCCCTCGTTTGATAATTAATGATAATGAATAAGGAACACAAGATTGGTATGGGGTTTGAGATACTGAGTTAAAACACAGACCAAGAGTGCTGATAGATCAGATAACATGGGGCCTTTTCCCCAGCACACTTCCTTATCCCATGCAATGGAAAGATCAACCGTTACTCAATTTCAACCTCTACTTGCATTGAGTTTCATTAGAAATGGAAACAATTATGTATAAATGATCAAGAGTCCCTTGTCTTGTACTCAGGTAACAGACACTTCCTGGACTCTCCAGCAGAATACACCTTAGCAATGTCTTTAATGTTTTAAGTTTGGAGTGATGTGTTGGACCCTATTAACGTGGTATACACTTTATAACACTATTCAGCTGCTCATAAGGACTTCATGCAGGACTCTGGTGTAAGATCTCCAACTGAACTAAACACAACCTGTCATAATTGGTGTCCCCTTTATAGAAGGGCTGGACAAAGTAAGGTCTCAAAGGACCATTTGCTGATCCTCAAAGCTTCCGGATTCACTGGACAATCCTCTTTCTGCCCAATCACCCTGAAAAGGCCTGTTCCGGGAATCTTTTCAATAAGATACAGACATCTAACATCCAACCTTCACTCACTCAATTTATCCAACCAGGAAGGCCTTCTAGCCACTTCTGTAGCCCATGAGAGCCCAGAAGAAACTGGGCCCTGGATCCCCCGCAGTTGCCCACCCTAGTATTGCTGTAACACATTTCCCAACCAGTGGTCTACAAGAACTAAAATATGGTCCACAGCCTCACCGTTACTACACCATTGCAGCTGCTGGTCTCACGAAACCCTCTTATAGAGCCAAGGCTTATTAAATATGGTTTTCTGTGGGCAAGCAGACAGTGACTACTGGATGGCATATGTTCTATATCAGAAACCAGAGCTGATGTGGTCTATCCAATGTAGTTTTCTGAATCAGCAACTCAAATAAACAAACGGAATCTAAAGTTGATCAAAAACTGATTCGTAACCCTTTTGGTACTATTGTTGGAGAGTGGTCCCTGGTCAAAAAAAGATTGGGAACCACTTTGCCGCCCTAATGATTTCAGAATACACGACAGGCTCCAGGAAACTTTTTACTGAAGGAAGAAATACAAAACTTCCTTTGCATATCTCAAGGTTTTTTCTTCTTCTTAAAGACTTAAAAGAAAATAAATTGCTTCCTCTGTGATTAGCATCGGCCCTCCACGTTTGCCAGGTTTATGTTTGTGAATTTGATTATTCATAGATTTGATTAGAATGTTTTCTCCAGGCATCTCACAGAGTGTCACTGGAGGACATACGAGATTCCCAGAGATAATGCTCCTCTAGAAATCCCTAGGTCCTCCAATGTAATTCTATGTTCAACATTTGGCAGAGGGTTGTTTCAGAGGACTTCCTAGAGACGTGTTCTCTCAGGTGAAAAAGGTGATATTTTTATTCCCATTTTTTTTTTCATTTTTGCAGGGGTCCTGTGCCCTTAACTCCAGAAAATGCAAAGAACTGACTGTACTGACCACCGTGAAGTTTCTTTTCCCCATGCAAGAAAACATACCACCTTAAGTACTAATTATTTTTTTTGTCATGTCAGGAGCGACTTGAGAAACTGAATGTCGCTTCTGGTGTGAGAGAATTGGCCGTCTGCAAGGACGTTGCCCAGAGGACACCCGGATGAATTGATGTTTTTATCTTCCTTGTGGGAGGCTTCTCTCATGTCCCCGCATGAGGAGCTGGAGCTGATAGAGGGAGCTCATCCACCTCTCCCCGGATTCGAACCTGCAACCTGTCGGTCTTCAGTCCTGCCGGCACAGGGGTTTAACCCACTGCGCCACCGGGTACGAATTACCAAATATGGAATCACAATGTACCCTGGCGCCTGAGCATGAAAAGAATCAGTGTCCATAGAAAGAGAAAGGGTACGTCTATACTGACCACTTCGCTCAGTGTGAAACTGGCAGAGAAGGAAGCGATTGCACTGTGCAGAGGATTACGGTACATGTGAAATTCTGGAACTGGTTTGAGGTCTATATGATACATTAGAGCAGTGGTTCCCAACCTGTGGTCCACAAGAACAAAAACTTGGTTCGCGGCCGCACCATTACTACACCGTTGCCTTGAAACCACACAGCAACAAGAACAACTTGTCTCACAAAAGTTTCATATAGTGCCGAGGCAATGGGCATGTCGGGAGGGGAGTGGCTGACTACCCACTAAAAATTACTACTACCACATCAACTCTAGATTATTAAATATGGTTTTCTGCAGGCGAGCAGATGGTGACTACTGGATGGTATATGTTCTGTATCAGAAACTAGAACTGATGTGGTCTATCCAATGCAATTTTCTGAAGCAGCATCCCAAATTACCAAAAACCAAAATTTGTAACCCTTTTGGTTTTTTTTATTTTGTTTTTTGTTTTTTGTCGTGTCAGGAGCAGTCACTTCTGGTGTGAGAGAATTGGCCGTCTGCAAGGAAGTTGCCCAGGGGACGTCAGGATGATTTGATGTTTTTATCATCCCTGTGGGAGGCTTCTCTCATGTCCCCGCATGAAGAGCTGGAGCTGATAGAGGGAAGGGAGCTCATCCACGCTCTCCCCGGATTCGAACCTGCGACCTGTCGGTCTTCAGTCCTGCCGGCACAGGGGTTTAACCCACTGTGCCACCGGGGGCTCCTTTTGGTACTAACATTGTAGAATGGCTCCATGGTCCAAGTGGTCCCTGGTCAATAAAAGGTTGGGAACCACTGCTCTATACTGACTGCTTAGCTCATTGTGAAACTGACAGAGAAGGAAACAATTTCACTGTGCAGATGATTACATGTAAAATCCTAGAACCAGTTTGAGGCTTCTATGATACATTAGAGGCTGGCTTTGAACCAGTTCCAGGATCCTCAGAATCCGTGGTTTCATGGAAGAATTGGGAAAGAATTGGGATTTTTTCCAAAACCCCTCCACAATACACATTTGAGGTTCAGTGCGCTCGTCCCTTAATTGGTTTCGCCCTGCAATTGGTTTATACTTAGGTCAGCTGATGCACATTGATTTCATCCAACATTCGTAGCATGATTCATCAAAACCAGTGGTGCCCAACCTGTGGTGCTCCAGGCGTTTGGGACTCCCACGCCAAGAAGCTTAGCCAACTTATCCAATGGTCAGGAGCTGAAGTCCAAAACACTTGGAGGGCCAAAGGTTGTGAACCAGTGATAGAAAAACAGTGCTGCCTCCTGAACGCATTTTGTAGCCAGCATAGATGTGTCTAGACAAGAGAAAGAGAGAGAAATCTTTCCCAATATATTAATTTTAAGGAAAACGAGGTGCCCATTTGCGTTTTCTGAAGGAGACCTTCCAAAGGCTCCAGCCTTCTCCAAGAAAATAAAGCAAAACTTGGAAGCGCTCTGGAGGTTCGGAATGCCATTGGCACACAAGAGGCTCTAATTTTAAACCCAGCAGCCACAATTTCGTTTTCCTGGAGCCGGAGTCCGCATCCCGGCCCTGAAAGGGGTTAAAAATAGTAAGTAGGTTGGTAATCTTGCTCTCCTCCCTGGCTGGCCCCAGCCTTCCCCCCTCCCACCCCCATTTGATTAAGTAACCAAACCCTGGTGGCTTTTACCACTGGAGCTGCTGTTGTTCCTGCGCTGCCGCTCTGAGTGCTTTCAGTAATTCAATGACGCCTGCTCACTCCAGGGAAAGAAATCATTAGCGGGCTCACTGGAGAAGCATTAGCAGTCCGAAAGGATCGGCGCTGCGTGCAATGGGGGCGGAGGGGGGATGCTGGGGGGGGGGGGTGCAGGTGAAAGGCAGGCTGGATTTTCGCATCCAGCCCCAGAAGGGCCTCCTCGCCCGGCCTTTTTTTTATTCCCTCCCCAAACGAGCCCATCTCCACCCGCATTAAATTCTAGTTTGCTGCATGAGTGAAGTGTCAGGACAAGCTGCGTTTTATTAACACGATTATCGCGGCGCATGATTTATTCCAGGGCTGGATTTTAATTGCTCTTTGGAGGTTCAGTCGTTTCTTTTGACTGAGCTTCAGCCTGCATCCCCGCTGTTAAATGCCGGGTTAATAAGTAGGGGGAGCCTTTAATGCACACAGGATACCCCCTTCAACCCTTCCTCTCGCCAAAAAATAAATAAAAGGAGATTGAAGGAGGGAGAGGGAGGGAAGCACATGCCAAACACAGAAGCCTTTGCAAAAGGCAAGGACCAGAGGTGCTGTCCAGGGCACATCTCCACCAGGCATGGGCAGACTTGGGGCCTCCACATGTTTTGGACTTCAACTCCCACCATTCCTAACAGCCTCAGGCCCTTTCCTTTTCCCGCTTAAGCGGCTGAGTAGGAAAAGGAAATGGCCTGAGGCTGTTAGGAATGGTGGGAGTTGAAGTCCAAAACACATGGAGGGCCCAAGTCTGCCCATGTCTGATCTGCACTGTATAATCAAAGCAGTCTGGCCCTGCTAACTGCTAGGCCACAATGCTATGGAATCATGGCACTTCCAATTTCACAAAGGCTTTGGCTTTCTCCGGCCAAGAGTGCACCGAACTACAACTCCCACGATTCCATAGCCATTAAAGTGGAGCCAGACTGACTTCATTCTACAGTGTAAACTTGTCCTTTTCACACCCTCACTTGTAAACATAGCTATCCCTGAAAATGCTATCCTGATTTCAACTATATCATCACACTAGAGAAAAAATATTATTTATTTATTATTTCAAATATTTGTACCCCACCCTTCTCTACCCCTGAAGGGGGACTCACGAGTGGCTTACAACCGGCAACAATTCGATGCGCCATATATACAACAGTAGACAATAAATTAGATTTTAAAATCATTTAAAATAGTACAAATAGTCCAAGTTCAACAATCAACAACTTAATCTAAAGCCAGTCCAGAGTCCATTTTCCATTGCATTGTCA